TTTTTTTTTTTGTTTGCCATAAACACAACTTTTGTTTTCACTCATCAGACAGAATAAACGATAACAGAGGATCAAATATTAATGGTAGGAATGACTAAAGTAATGTTAACAAATAAAAAACATTAAAAAGGTATCAGTAGTTTTAAAAAATAACAAAAATTTGACTTTGGTACACCAATAAATACATTTCTTGTAGAAAAATAAATTTAAAGCATTCAGATGAAAGTTAACACATCAAAACTTATTGCAACAACAAACTGCTATACTTTGTTTTAAGATATCAATTGAAAAACATAATATAAATAACAGTAAAATCAAAAAAAAAAAAATACGTATATATATGAGAATAGAATTATAAATCGGTTATAACATGTTTTGTTCCGCCTGTTCGTTGCCAGTGAATATAACAATTTTTACATAACAGATGATCATTTAACGGATAACACTTTTTGCTCCCACTTTCGTCCAAATGACAATGGCAACCCTTAAAAAAAGACACTTACAGTGTTTATCAAAAGTAAACTTTTTTTCTCAGACCTTAGATTAGAAAAGTGCACTGAAAACTGTATCCAAATAACAAAACTTAAAAACTTTGCTAACAGCAAGAAAAAAAAAAACATGACAGATTTATTACCTCGCAAACAAAACATTGGTGATGATAAGTTTTATTATTATCAGCCAACACCGCATTTGTATGTTGATTTCTCTGCAATTAACAGAAATAACAGTATAACTAACACTTCTATACGAGGCAGTTTATAACTTTTTTTTTCCACTCATTCATCAAAAAAATCCAAATAATTATTGTAGTTATCAAAGGCTTACGTCGTCAGTATATATTGGTTGATTACAGGCAACACAGGTCGGAGCAGTTATTTCACGATAGTCTCTTGTGCAAAAAAATCTTCCCTGATCGTCGACAGCAAACGGTATATTATCCAAACATCTTTTGCATTTTGTACAACGAAAGCATTGCGGGTGATATGCCTTTCCGAAAGCATGTAAAGTCTGAATAAAATTTGATTTATTCAAAGTTTCCTTCTTTTGGAATATAATAACTTATAACAAGCAATACCAATACCTTAAAGCTCCTGCTAAAAATTAATTATATTCATAGAGTTAAACTTTATGCTTTACTAATATCGGATTTGCAGATATGCACATATGCAAAATTAGCAGAACTACTTTCTATCACTGCGCATCTTACTAAGCAGCTTTTCTTTTTGTTAAGCGGTGCGTAAAACACTAAATAGTCTACTCATAAAAACTCATAAGGTTTCTCAGATTTAGCTCAAATAGATCGCTGTGATGCATTAATGGCTTATCACCATCAGTATACGTATAGCCTTTATCAAAAAACTTTAAAAAGCAGTCATATACCAATGCCAGTACTGCGTTAATTTCAGCAGATAATTTTAGCTTATTTTTTGACATTTATAATGAAACCATATCACCAATGTCAATTTGTGAGTAAGCACCATTTCACCACACATATATCAACTAAACTAAAGAATTTGTTCCGACTGATAAGCAATATCAAAAAAAAAAAGATTTAATTGCTGCTACCCACTTTTTTAAAATCAAAATACGTTTAAAACAACCGTGAAAAAAGTGCAGACCCGAAGATACCAAAAAATTTATATACATACTTCAGTGATGATAGGTTCTGCGCATGTGGCACACCTTTCGGCAGTCGCGTGCATTCCCGAATAAAGATAATCTTCCTCACAAAAGAATTTTTTTCCTACCTACAAAAAATTATTTTGACCAGATAAACAGAGGAAATGAAGAAAACAGGAATGCCAATCCATACACTCTAAGCTGGCAAACCTTGTAAAATTTTTTTCCCTTCAACTTTCTGTCACAGATATCACAAACCAAACAACTGTTATGGAAATATTTTTCAAGGGCACAAACGACGTCCGATCCTCCATATAGTTCTCCACCACAAATTCCACATATACCTGAAAAAAATCCAATTCCTAATTGAAAGTTAACCGTTGAGTAGAAAGAAATGTAGCAGTTTAATCTGCTTTCTTCGTTCCTTCAGAAAGATGTTTTTTCCTTTTCTATAATTATTTAAACAATTTAAGAACGATTACTTATTTGACTAATTAATATTTTATAGCGGCCGATGAACTGATTTCATCAATGTCTCTTGACAGTTTCAAAACAGATTAGAATTACTGAGTGTTAAGAAAAACTAAATGAATAAGAATTGACCATTGTTGAAAGAGCACAAATCACAAAGAGCACAAATCAAAGAAAAAGCACAAATCATAGTTAAAATAATTTTGCAGTTACCAATTGGTGATTTTGGTCGCGAACTTATAAGCTCCCGTTCAATCTGCCCAGTAAGTTCTTCGTACTTCCGCTTTTGTTCCTCCATTTCGTTGGGAATAACTTTGTATCTTACATTGTCTCCATCCGGAATGTTCTCTGCTCCATTCCTTTTGATCCAGTTGTTAATCATAGTCGTTTTATAGTCCTTTGGGTCCGGAATATCCCTAGCGTGTCCTAAAACTGACGCTTCCAACACTCTCCTCATTTTTAATTACCAGCTATTGCTACAGTAATTTCCATAAAGAATGATTAGACAATTCTATGTTTTGAAGTAACAAACAATTAAACTATAGGAGACGGTGCAAGATTAAACCAATTTGTTGTGCTACGACAGTACTTTCATTCAAACCGACTATATAGCCAGTTTTCCAGCAATCATCATTTCTTGTATTTAAACTGCGCAATGTGTTATTGTCTGTCTGATTGACAAAAGTTTTTAAATCAAAAAAAGATCTTAATCGGAATATCCCAATCATTAAACCTTTATAAGATGTAAAAAAAACCATTTAATTTCCAGCTTTCCTGTCAAAAATATAACCACCAGAGAGAATGGTTAAAAGTTGCTTATTATTTTGACATATGAAACACCTTAATCATGATACAGATAAGAGATAATAGATTATGTAAAAGTGTCTATATAGCTTCCCGTTATCAAAAAAAAGAAAAAGACCTTTAGTTGTGGTATTAGATAGTGGAGTTGGTGGTTTTGGCTGCTCATTAACTTCCTTTACCACGCAGTATCGAGCGTGATAAATTCCACTTTTGCCATCGTTCTTTATTATCCCGTTTTCTTTGACTGCCTATAGAAATGATAAAAAATTAATCGAGTACACTAATTTAAA